CCCCAAAACCCCAAAACCCCAAAACCCCATGAATTTCAAATTTTTTGGAATTAGAAGATTATGATTTATTAATTTTAAATAAATAATAGAAGTATTAAAATAGAAGAAGTCTGCTCGTATGTCTTACTTTAAAACTTAGTTAAATTAAATGAAGAAAGTTAAAAGAGATCGTTAAATTCTATATATTGAATCAATCATCAATTCATCTTAGGAATTGGCTGAACCCATTTATAATTCATCATGTTGTTTGTAACAAATGGATTTGAAGAACCAACCCTAGTTTTGGCGTTCTCTCCTACACCCCAATGACTCTTTCTTAATTCAGCTTTTTTCTCTGCATTAAGATGTACTACTGAGGCTGTCAAAGGTCTATATGCTAGTTTCTATTACGATACTAAATTGTATGACTCTCCTCCAACATTGAAATGACTTCTTCTGAGGTCATCTTTCTTGTTTTGATCTAATTTAGCTCTAATATTCATTGCATTTCCCTTAAAATCAAAGTTATGCATTGAAACTGAAACATAGAGGTTTGGAGCTAGCTGATTAGTTCCAATATTAAAATGATTTCCCTTAATGTTCTTTATGAAATCCTTATCAACTTAAGTCACCTTAGATGTCATTGGCCTGTATGCGAGAGTATTAGCTGAATACAATACTTATGGCTTTGGAGCACCATGCGATATACAACTGCTAAAGTTTTTATTCTCGATTCCCTTGACCTTGGTAAAGCCCATATACTTTCTGCTATCGGTATTATGATTATAGGTAGTAACGTAAAAGTTATTCTTAGATCTTGAATCACCTAGATCGAAGTTACTCTTCTAAGATTAAAAGGCACTGCCTTATTTCCCAAGCTAATCATTTCTCTGCTAAACATAATCTTGATAACTTAATTTTTGCTGCGACATAGAAATTCTAGGGTGATTGCCTAATTGGAAATGTGTTCTTTTAGCCTATAGGACATCTTGAGTTCTTTTGTCTTAATGAGTGAAGAAACCTACTTAGGGTAATCCACCATTTGCTCTAATTGCAATATCAGTCATTTTTATGAAATTTTATTTTTAGTTAAATTATAATCTTTAATTTCTAAATTCTATACAGTTACTTTTAGATTCTATACAGGCATCTTGGGGTTTTGGGGTTTTGGGG